CACCTTATGAGAATCTAGTCATTACATAATAAAGTTGTATCCAATAGACACATACACATAGTTATTAGTTAGTGTAACTAAACAGTGATGAACTAATAATGTAACGTTTTTGCGAATATATACAATATATTAACTAATAATAAGATAAAAGAAACAACATAATTATGGTAAAAAACTAAACTAGTTGCTAGGCAATATCACTTTTCCTAATGAGGATATAACATAAGTTACCTAATAGTTAGATAAAAAAAATATAACTAGTGATGTAGTTTATTTTCTGCATTAGGCATATATCATCAGTAGATAGACTGTCCTAGTTAAAATTTTTAGTTCTATGAAATGCTATTTTTAGTTCTATGAAATGCTATTTGTGTCTTTTAGAGATGACACCAGTGGCTTTTATTATTGAACACTTCCTAATCATGTAGAACGTAAGTATCTCAGTGTATATTGTCTTGGAAAAATTCCTTGCTCACATTGGATTTGAACTCGAGATCTTTGGTTCTTCAAATCTGTCGTCCTATATGTTACTCCACTTTAACTTTACTAACAAACGTGTTTCGTACGGCCCTCATATGTTGCATGAGATTTGGCACGACTTGCTCGGCTTTTGCCGTCAGTTTGCCGCCATATGTTGCTCGGCACGTTTCGTTCGATTTTTGCCGCAAATTTGCCGTCACGCGTTGCTCGGCACATCTTATTCGCTATTTGCTGCAAATTTGTTATCACATATTGCTCGGCACGATTTACTCAGTTTCTGCTATCAATATGCCGTCATACTACTAATGATAGCTTGTCCGGTTTTTGTCAGCAGTTTGCTATCACGCTTGCTAACAGGTCGTGTCGCAATATTGCACACATTTTGCCGACATTACTTGATATAGCAAATCGTGCTGCAGTTTTGTTGTTATTCTGTTGATAAAACTTGCAGCACGCTTTGCCAAAATTTGCTTTTGGCATGTTTGGCTATCAGGGATGGTAACGAATTCAAACGTTACTTTTATCGTTTTACTTTAGTTATCTCTATTCAATAAATAATGCGCTGATTGCGCGCTGATAGTGTATATTAAATATTCTTGATTGGATAGAAATATCTCGATATATATTCAGACAGAAGACAGTATGTGGTTTTATTTTATTTTTCACATAAAAATGATTGTGCAAAATCGAATTTTACAGTTTAAAAAAGTTAAAATTTTTTAATAAATTTAATAATGCGTAATATAGTTCACTTTTTGTAAGGAACTATGGAACAAGTGTGTGTATTACACTAAGCATATCTATTATTAAGTTTATTAAAAATTTTTAAGAGCCTAACCTTGCAAAATCAGGCTTTGTACTAATAATAATTTTTGTGTAAAGAATAATAAAAGAATCGAACTCATAAAGAAATATTAGTTCTCCGAGTCAGAATTATTGCAGTTTTGAATAGTTTGTTTTTTTTTAGGTGAACTACCTACATTAAAAATAATAATTTAAGCTTAACAATAATTTCGTTTTAAAATCAATTACGTATTTTAGTATTATAAAAAAGTAACGAAAAAGAGTAACAAGTCATTATTTTATTAGTAACGGTAACATTTTTAAAATAACGTTTCCAACACTGGAACCACCATCGAGAGCTTTTTTAATTGCTTCGCGAAAAAATCAATAATGTAAATAAATCTCCATCCGATCGATTTTCGACGACATTCTGCTCCGCGTGATAATTCGCAATCTATTCCGAATCTCTCCCTTCATGATGCATTTTTCTCATATAGTATTGCATTTAACTTTATACATCTCTGTGATGCATATTTGGAGCAACGTATCGTATAACTTTACTTATTGATTGACAAAAAATTTCGAAAATATTTTTGTCGAAATTATATAGATAATCAATATTTCAGATTCCTTGTAAGTACGAAAATAAAAAGATAGTAAGTCTCAGTTACTCATATGTTGTCGTTGATACGTTTTATTCTATCAAATTAAACATTGTTATTTTTTATCATACATGATATTAAAAAAAAACATTTATTATGTGCAGCTGCTAGCTTTGTGTCATTGGTACGAGTTATTCCAAGTTTCGAAATGCATTTTTTTCTAAGGTATCGCGTGAAAGAAGAGATGAGTGAATAAATTGTGTATGTGTACGTGTGTATAAGTGATAAGATCGCTTCTGACTTATGCATGTCGCCGCGATTGTCAGTTCGCCGGTAGTGAGACAAGACAGAGATTTGCTGTTCATCTTCATCTAACTCATACTACTCGTAGCACGGAACAGAATCTAATCGCATTTACTATGCGGTGAGTACACTGAATAAGACTCTGATTCCCACCATTGACAACTATAACTCTATAGTCAACGCGCATATCTCAGCTCCGGAGCCAGGAGCTGTGGTTAACTTTCAAGGGAAATGACATAAGATATTACTATTTCAAATCAACACAATGGATAGTTAGACATTCAAGTATATATTCCATTATTTACATATGAATTTGTCATGTATTTTAAGTAACATGCTTACTGCATATATATACTCTAGTCCTAAGAATAAAAACTGTCATTATGATCTTGACGAAGTTTAAGACAGTGCGCACGACGTTCTATAAATGCGGCCATTCTAGTGGACGGTATGATAGCGCCAGTCGATACCTGATAAAAGAAAAAAGAATAAGTAATAAGATACCTTATAAAAGATGTTTGATAAAAGAAAAAAGAATATACAGGATGTCCCAGACCATCCGGACCACCCAATTTTTTCATAAACACATTTTAGAAAAAAATGTTCCGGACAAAAGTTATAAGATTTTAAATGACGCATTAGATAGTGATATTAGTATAATCTTGAACAACGTTGTCAAGGTCATGTGAAGGTCATCTTCAATGTTTTTAATGGAACCTCCTATTTTTCATTGCATATTCTTATAGTTTATCTCGAGAGCTTTTTGAAACACTATAACAAAGTATTTTTCTTTTAAGTACTTTTCGAGTTATGAGGCCTGAAATTCCGAGTACCGCCGATATTAGCATTACCCAAAGTGTACCACGCGGAGATTGCACGTTCGGGTTTATACCTCTTTTGTGTGTGTGGGCGTGCGTGTGTGGATTGATGGATGTAGTGTGACGGTTCTCAGTCCTTACTTGTTCCGTAACATATTATCGTAAACATCCTCCAATCATTTGTGCATTCATCATATACACACACGCGCGCATACATATGCACACGCACGCGCGCATGCACGTACATACGCACACACGCGTACACACACACACACACACACACACACAAAAGAGGTGTAAATCCGACCGAGCAACCTCCGCGTGGTACACCTTGGATAATGCTAATGTCGGCGACTCGAAATTTCAGACTTCATAACTCGAAAAGTATTTAATAAAAAAATACTTTGTTATAGTGTTTCGAAAAGCTCTCGAGATAAGCTATAAGAATATGCAATGAAAAAAGGAGGTTCCATTAAAACCATTGAAGGTGATCTTCACATGACTTTGACAACGCTGTTTAAGATCATACTAATACCACTATCTCATGTGTCATTTAAAACCTTATAACTTTTGTCTGAAACATTTTTCTCTAAAATGTCGCATTTACGAAAAAATTGGGTGGTCCAGGTTTGGGATACCCTGTATAAGTAATGGGTCTCGCACACTGGACGCGATGAGCGACAAACGATGGGCGATATCCAATGAGAGCTCTCATTTTTACTTGAAGCAAAGCTCTCATTGGATATTGCCCATCGCTCATCGTTAATCGCATCCAGTGTGCGAGAGCTATAAATATTATATAAAATTTCAATTTCGTTATCAGAAAAGTAAGTGAAAAAGAGATTTCTTCCTCCTTCTTTCTATTTCTCTCTTTGAAATATTAATATATTTAATAATAAACAGGATTGACAATTAGTTAATCGATTAAAAATTAATTTAGAAGGTTAATAATTTTAAATTTAAAGTTATAAGTTTAAATTAAAGTTAATTCATTTTAAAATCTAATAAATCTAAACCTCATTTTTAAAAAATTAGTTTAAGTTAACATTTAACCTATCTAAGATTATATAAGTTGTTAGAAAGTTATTAACTTTTTGTTTGTTTTGTGTTCAAGATTCCATACAACAAAAGAACATTGACATTCAGGAAGAAAAAAGATTCTAATGGAATAATTTTTATAATTTTTCTTATTAAAAGTTTAATACACACTTTTTATCTTCATTAATTTTGAATTAATTAAATCTGAACTCAAATTAATTATTATAAAATATATTAACTCCAACTTTTAACTATTTCTTACCAACTATTTTTTTATATAAATTAAAATAATTCACCAATTAAGGTTCACTAACTAAGGGTTTTTTACCTCATCGCGGCCATATTGAATTTTTGATGTCAGAAGTGAGGAATAATATACTGACAAAAGTTATGTGCTATTTCTAAATAAAGATAAATATGGACGAAAGAGTACTTAAGATTGCTTAAGCATGCTTGTAAAGTCGTCCGAAAGATATCCGTTTCCTTTGACGATTAATAAATAGTCATATAATAAATAGTGAAATAAGGCATGCAGATAAAACAGATTCATTTCATTATTTCACGCACTTCATTTCACTATTATACTATTAGATGGTAAACTTAATTCCTGCCGTTTTTTCGTCTCCAAAATTGATTTGTTTCGAAGGGAAGATAAATGAATATCTTAATGAAAATAATTTCCTCCATTTTCTACTATTTTTTCCCATCTCTCCGGCAACAGGGTAATCCCACGAAGGTAGAACGCGGTGTTTTTCGAAGTGATCCATTCATTCACCCATTTTTTAACTTCTTCGTAACTGGAGAAGTATGTGTCCATAAGTGCGTATTGCATCGACCGGAAGAGATGGTAATCCGACGGTGCTATGCTGGAGAGTTCGCTGGATGCGGGAGGACTTCCCATTCAAGCTATAGAAGTGTCTGCTTCACGCTTTTCGCAACATTCAATCAAGCGTTATCGTGCAAAAGAATGACTTTGTATCGATTGTTGGCTATAGGTAGTCTTTTTTGCATCAACTCGTTATTCAATCGGCATATTTGCTGTTGATAGCGATCAGATGTAACGGTTTCATTTGGACGCAAGAGCTCGTAATACACCTTCCTGGTCCCACTAAACACAGAGCAAGGTCTTCTGTCCATGATTATTCCTGTTCGGCGTTGAAGTGGATAGTTGGTCGGAGTCCACCAATAATTTCCTCCGCTTGAAATTATCAAAATAAATCAATTTTTCATCGCCAGTTACGATACGCCATAAAAAACTCTTTTTTCTTTGTCTGGCAAGCAAAGAAGTCACGATAGACAAACGATTCAAAATGGCATTTTCTGACAACTCATGTGGTACCTATATCCCTTCCTTATGAATTATTCCTATAACATGCAAGCGTTTTGAGACGGCCATTGGAGTAACATTTAACGCTTTTAACTTTAAAAGCGTTTGAGCTGGATCCTCATCAAGCAATTCTTGCAGCTCGACATCTTCAAATTTTTTCGGCTGTCCGGGACGTTCTTTGTCTCTCACGTCAAAATCACCGTTTCGAAAGCGTTCAAACCAAACTCTACATGTTCTTTCCGATAGAGTTTCACCATATAGTTCGGATAATAAGCGATGCGTTTCAGTCGCAGTTTTCTTGAGGTCAAAGTAATGAAGAAGCACATATCGGAGAAATAGCTTACCGCGGTTCATTTTTAATTAATTGGAAAATCTCTTTGGCGTTAAGAAATCTAACCTGTGAGGACTGAATCGCTTTCGAATGTTTAAACTACGTAAGACATGCGACTTCACCGTCAAAACTCGCCAGCATTGGAGCTGGCACCCTCTAATAGCGAGCGGTAAGAATTAAGTTTACTACCTAATATTATTTATCGATCATTAAGGGAAAGAGATACTTTTCGGACAATTTTACAAGTATACTCAAGCAATCTATTAAATGTTCTTTCGTTTATATTTATCTTTATTCAAAGATGATACACAACTTTCGTCAGCATGTCATTCCTTCCTTCTGACGTCCTAAATTTGATATGGCCGGCGAGATACAGGAGCCTTAAAATCATTGTGCGCAGCTTATAATGTAGAATAAGAAAAATAAAAGATAATATTATTAAAATCTTTTTTCGTCTTTCTGAACGCCCATATATTCTTTTCTTACATAGAAAATTGAACACAAAACAATCAATATTTACTTATAAAGATTACCTCTCATTATTTCGTATAAATTCAAAAATTGGAAACTTTACTGACAAAATGCTGATTTTTCTGCAAAGTTTTTACATCGTATTACACAGGATTACAAATACCTTTAAACAATGAAAGTACGTGCAAAAATGAAAAGGCACATTATTCATTATGTGATAAAAGCGATTAAAAATTTTAAAATTAACATCTGAAACTATTAGTTAGTATAAGTATTTGTTTGATATAAAAGTTTTAGAGTTTACACATACTGAATATGTGTTTGTTCCGTTAAAAAAATTTCAGAGAATATTGCTATACTCTCCCAGAAAAAAGATCACATATGAATTTTGTTCATATATAGTTCATATATATCCACAACGAGAAAAATACTGTTATATAAATACAATCGAAGTAAATGTTTATGCTTCTAGCAACACATGATGTCAACGTTTAATTGAATGAAACTAGTTCTCCTCTTTTTCGCTCAACATTATTATTTTTTCCGTATGGACATATATGATTATACAGAGTGTCAATAAAGTTCCGGGACGGCGAAATATCTCGAAAACTAAGTAATTTAGGAAAGTCTATGCATATTAGATTTGGTTTCCGGGTTTGAGCCGCGTGGACTCAACTTTGTTTGATTCCGACATTTCGTTTGTTGGAGTGCTTTTGAATTTCCAAGGATTCCCTGTATTTCCTAGGAAAGTAATTGTTCGTTTTGGCCAGTATTTTTATTTCGTTGAACAGGATTTTGTGTCTGCTTTTTAGATTGTGTTCCACTAGTACTGACTGCGTTACATTTTTCAGTTTGACTGCGCTTTGATGTTCCTTTATATATGCCCACTATACTCCCGGTTTCTTCTATATAGACAAGATATAGATTATATAGACAACTATATAGACCTATTTTGCAGTCAAACTAAAAAATATAACGCAGTCAGCACTAGCGGAACACAATCTAGAAAGCGGACACAAAATCCTGTTCAACGAAATAACAGTACTGGCCAAAACCAACAATTACTTTTCTAGGAAATACAGGGAATCCTTGGAAATTCAAAAGCATCCCAACAATCTCAACAGGGCTAATGGACAAAAAATCAGTCCAATCTGGCAATCCGTCCTCCCGGTTTCCAAAACATAACAGACAACAAATTTCCCACCATCATCCCTCCTGCTAACCCTCCTCCTTCCTGTCTCCTCCCCCTCTCCCCTATACCAACTACTATATAAGAAAGACCTCTCAGGAGCAACTCGGCATCGGGTCGTTCCTCCCTAATGAAGCGGACTGAAATGTTCGCGAAACGTTGGAATCAAACAAAGTTGAATCCACGCGGCTCAAACTCGGAAACCAAATCTAATTTTAGAAAATTGTTTCAGATAAAAGTTATAGGGTTTCAAAAAATCTATTTATTGATATTTTTAGTTTGATCTTGGGTGGGGTCGCCAAGGTCAAGACGAGGTCACCTTGAATTTTTTAAATGGAACCCCCTATTTTTTATTGCATATTTTTGTAGCTTATCTAGAGAACTTTTAGAAACACTATAATAACGTATTTTTTCATTAATTACTTTTTGAGTAATGAAACTTGAAAGTTACAGTACTTTTGGCGTTAACATTACCCAAAGTGTACTACGCGTAGGTTCTTCGGTCGGATTTATACCTCCTTCGTGCGTGCATGCGTATATGAGAAAAAATAGGGGGTTTCATTAAAAAAATTCAAGATGACTTTGTCCTGACTTTGGCGACTCCACCCAAGATCAAACTAAAAATATCAATAGATTATAACTATAACTTTTATTTGAAACACTTTTTCTTAAAATGTTTAGTTTTCGAGATATTTCTCCGTGCCAAAACTTTATTGATACTCTGTATATGAGATCATATGTAGACAAGATATATAGATCAAATTCATACATAATACTTATATACTTATATACTTATATAGGGTTTATATACATAATTATACAGAGTGTCTT